TATTTAAATCAGTCCAGGCCCTGGGTCCAACAAATGCTATATAATAGCCACAGAAAAACCTGCAGTCCATTTAGACCACAGGCTTTTCACTTATTTTGAAGTACTGGGGTGCTAAAAATCTATACACTGGCGTCAGAAGATTCTGCTTAAGTTTGTTAGAGACAAGGAAATATGCAAAGGACCCTTGGCAGACTGGGTCCTGCCTTCCCTGGTTAGGGGGAGGTTGGCAGGGAGAAGTGTCCCATACATCTGTCCTGGATGGCAGGGAAATCAGTGGTCGGCGGCAGCCTTCAGTTTGGCAGGAGATGGATGTCCTGAAGGGAACTTCTCTGCAGAGGCTGAGCTGCTCAGAGCTGACTGCAGGTAGACTGTCTTGTGGAAGAGTCTGTTGCTTAAGAAGACCACCAAGGAGAAGAGGCACAACTGAAAAAGGTATGCTTTGCCAGGAGTCTTTGCCTCATTAGCGCTGATAATGAATAAAGGAAAGAGGATGGAGAAGAGGCAGCCACTGATAATGTATGAGGACTGCATTGCTGTGAGGAAAGCCAAGGGCAAACCAAATCCAAAGTAATAAGGCCAATTCTTTTCTATGTTTGACAATCGCTGGTGCATCTCAATTCCTTTATTAAACCAGCGATATTCGAAGCTGTAAAGTGAATAGAGAAGGGACATATACAGGAGGCTATCCAGCTGACCAACAAGATGGATGGGGAAGAGACTCACAAACATCCCCTGGAAAAGGAAAAGAGCTTGCAACAAAAGGTTGAAGAGCCTATCACCAATCATTTTACTGACACTAGGGAATGGGTGCGGCTTCCTTCCTGATATTTCAAATGCCAGATCAGCTATATCTTGGAACCAAATGACATTGACAACTTTGCTCAGCACAAACAGGGGAAGCACCCAGAGAGCACTGAAAATTGACGTGAAGAGGAATTCCAGCCATGACCAAACATCTCCATGTAGTAACGGATCACCAATAATTTGTGCTGTCACTGACTGAAGCACAGGAATAAACACTCGGTAAGACAGCATGAGACTAAACCAGAATATGCCTCCATTCCAGGCACAGCACAGGACAATCCTACTAATAATACGTGGCTCACTCTCCTGCTTCCGCTCTACACTCTGTGTTCTCCTCTGCGCAAGGACGCTGCTAGCCCGTCTCTGTCGCTGCTCTTCCCTCTTCCACTGTATCTGAGCATCCACCTTTGAGATGGTACAGATACCCCAGATGGAGTCTTTGATCCCCCTGGCCAGGTCCTCAAAACCTCTCATCATGAAGGGCCAGGCAGCTCCGCTGCCGCTGCAGCCCCGGCCCTCGCCCGCCAAGGGCCCTCTCGGCTCGGGGCTCCCACGCCAGGGAAGCTGCGCCCGCTATATATCCCTTTTAAACAGTTCTCTCTCTCTCATCTGTTCCAATACAGTATACATAAATTATCCCCTCTTCCTCAGTCTTCACCCAACCCCGATGTCAGTCCTGTTTTACAACAGTGGCACTATGCAGTATTTGTCCTTTTGTGACTGAGATATTTCACTCAGTAGTCTTTTTGTGCATGCTTGCCCAGCCATTTGCATTCTTGACTGCTGCTTCCAGGAGCATTGCATGTGAATCCAACTAAAACAATGTCCTTGGATGACTTCAATATTTCTTACTTGTCACGGTGTTGATTATTGGTTCAGTTGTGAAGATTTCTGCTTTACCTTAAGGCATAATCTTGGTTTGTGTACAAATTCTGCACGAGCGTAATTAAGTGTTCTGGAATTTCCATTCTTTGCAATGTTGCCTGTAATTCATGATGGTCTACACATATATTTTCTCATAATCAACTAAAAAATAAAAGTCCTTCTAGTATTCTCTGCTTTCATCCACAATTTAAGTAATATTAGGAATGATATTTCTTGTTCCACATCCTCTTTTGAATCTGTATTGCATTTCTGATAGTTCTCTATCAATGTACTTCTTCAATGATTTTAAAATTTTCTTTGGCAAAATTGTACCTATGCATGATGTAAATGATAATGTTTGATGATTTCCAGATTTGGCTGGATCACCTTTCTTTGGAATGAGCACAAATATGGTTCTCTTCCAGTCAGTTGGACAGGTCTTGCAAATTTCCGGGTATAGGCACGTGCTTACTTCCAGAGCTGCATCAGTTTCTTGAAACACCTCAGTTGGTATTCTGTTAATTCCTAGAGTCTTTCCCATGCCCTGCCCACCCCAGTGCCTTCAGTGCAGTTTAGACTTCTTCCATTAATTCTGTGGATTCTTGATCACATACCGCCTTCTGAAATTACTGGATGTCAGTTCTTTTTGCTACAAGACTCTGTGGAGTTCTTCCATGTCCTTTAGAGGCTTTCGGCATCACTCAGTATTTTGTCCATATGGCACAACTTGAGCCTCATATTTGTCTTCAGTTCTTTCACTTTGAAAAATGCCAAGCATGTTTTTCTCTTTTGATTTTCTAACTCTAGGACTTTGTGCCTACCAAAGAAAAGAAACCATTCTGGGGAGGCACCAGAGAACAGTGGCTTTCTCAAGTCACAATTATAATTCACTATTGAGAAGGCCATAATACTCATCTTTTTTTTTAAGCTTTTATGTGTTTATTTATTTATTAAAAGTAGGGTTTTTGGTTTTTTGTTTTGATTTTTATTATTTTGTGTGTGTGTGTGTACCTTCAAATCAGATCTGACTGGTACAGGAGGAGATTGTCCCTCCTTCTTCATCAGAGCATCTGGTGGATTTGAACTGTGCACCTCTGTGATTGCAGTGCAGCTTCTTGCCACTAGGCCACCAGAGCTCGCCCATAATACTCATCTTGATTACCTATTTAATTCATCAAGTTTAGCTGAAAAATTACTTTTATTTGTTTACCAAAATGATACCTAGGATTGAAATAGAACTTGCAGCAGTCAGAGAATGTGCTCTGTTGAAACCTGGGCAGCAGAAGTAAGTTTCTCCTGGGGTAGGTGATACATGGCTTATCCCCTTTGTGGAGGACTTTGGGAAAGCCTAGGTGACCTAACTCCAAAGAATTTTCCTTTACAAAGCTATAAGCTCCACACTCTCCTCTTTCAGCATTACTCCAGAGCTCTGAGCTTTTCTTTAAGTCTTCAATGTATGCCAGTTCACTTCTGCTTTCAAAGGTTGATGTACTTCATACTGTCAAGTTGGAACCAACCCATAACAAACCCCCCCCCCAGAGGCAGTAAATCACACAGGAGGAGATTTCCTGTCTTCCCACAATTAGTTAGTTAGTCTAGCTGGTAGATTTGGACCACATGCCTTCAGCTTGGCAGCACAGTTTCTTACCCCTAGGCCAGCAAACCTTGCTTTTAAAAGGTGGAACTATTATTAGCCCAACTTTACAGGTGAAGGTGTATGTAAAGAGGGGCCAATTGCTAACTCAAATACAAGGGGAGAGGAGCAGGGTCTACACTGTGCCCTCAAGACCACAGGTAGGCAGCTTCTGAGGGGCTGAGGACATATGTTCTGGCTAACACTGCCATTGCACAATTTTGTCTTGTTTTCTATCGCTTCAAAATTCTTTGAAGGAGTCACTACTCCAATGTCTGCTGTTCTTAGAGATCTCAGATATTGGCAGACATTTGATCTTGGGCTTTTAACCTGTCAGTCAGGAAAACCAGAGTACTGGAAAGAGAACAACAAGATCATGGTAAAAAGGATGTTGGCACAGTGCACAAAAGCTAGCTCTGGAAATATTTAAAAGGGATATATGATTAGTTATTGTTGTCATGACATGAGTCCAGAATGAAGGTTGGAGTGGAGTGGACTTGGGGGGAGGGATTGTATAACAATGAAAAAAATTTTTTTTTAAACTTTTCAAAGAGAGGAATGAACTGGAGAGGAGGGGTGGGCAGGAAGAAAAGTGCAACAATGAATGAATGGAAATCCAACATCTCTGTATATTTTCATTAAAATTAAGAAGAAGAAGAAAAGAAAAGAAAAAAGCATAACTATTTGAGAAAATTGAGATTGTGTATAATAAAAAAAAAAAAGATCAAGGCTTGGGCCAGGTACACCTTAGTCTAGAAATTGAAATCTTTACTCTTTAGTGCTTTGAGGAGGTCCTTGCAATGTATTTCTCCAAAGTATTTTTATTTCTTTTATTTTCTACTTAAAACTTATATTTTATACTGGTTTACTTAAAAAGGTTGTATACATTGATTTTCACACTAGATTTTCCCCGTCTCCTTAACCCACCTCTCCCTCCACCCACCAAATTGTGTGATGACTATATGATTAAACCCCTTACCCCATCTGTCCATCCTCTGCTCTCACCCTCCCTACCTTGGATCTTCATACACATTCTACAATAATGGTCTTATACATTATTTGTCCTTGGGACTTATTTAGTTCACTTAGTATAATGCTCTCCAGTCCTGTCCAAGTTTTGTAGTAATTTACAAAATTATTGTTCCTCTATGTTGCATAATATTTCATCTTGTGAATGTTCCATAATTTCTCAATACATTTGATTGTGGTTGGACATTTGGGCTGTTTCCATGTTCTTGCTATTGTGAATAATACAGCGGTGGAAAAAAAAAGCTAGCTCTGAGGGGAACCTAACCTACTGTGTACACTTTCACCAAAAGCAATAAAACAATGAAAACAAATAGAGAATATCATGGTTGGTGTCTTTAGAAGTCTTATCTGTGGAAAACCAAAACATGAAACAAGGTGATGTTTCCCTACATCTCCTCGTGTCCTGCTGCACACACATTCCTCTGATGGCTCTAACTAATATAGGCTGCTTCCTTCTCCACTGCTTTTTGTTTGTTTGTTTGTTTTTAACTCTTCAGGGGAAATCTAAGACCATTTCTATTGAGTATGTTCTTTTTTAAAAATTTTTGGTTATTTATATATTTATTTCTTTTATCAAGTCTGTTCTGATACGCAGGAACACCCTTGTCAGGTTTCAGAGGCTGTATTTGGAGGCTCCTGTGGAAGGGTTCCACTCTGGAAGATGATTTCTCACGTCTTTATGAGGGTCACGTGAGGAATGTTTTTGGTTGTGTTTTTATTAATTAATTTTGGGATGAACATTCTTTAAGTAGTATAGCAGTCATCTGTCTATTTGCTGTACTTAAATAACTTGGAGTTGCTGTGATGCTGAACAGTGTGCCTTAGTTGTGTCATAATGCTTACCCATCATGGGCAGTGTTTGGAGGAGCTTCCAGATTGATTCAGGTTTCGAAGCAGGAGTGGCATCCGTTTCTTAAACCACATGCCTCTGGAAACTCTATGAACATGTTGTTGTTGTTGTTATGTGCCATCGAGTCGCCTGCGACTCATAGCGACCCTATGTACAACAGCCCT